AATAATTCATAACCAAAGTATGTAATGAATATTATGTATAATGATTAAAATATTATGATATCACAAAGAATTAACCCATGAAAAGAAATGTACAAAATGTGGCAAGTACCAGGTGGAAAGGTTGAACCTAATGAAATATTATTTCAAGTAGTATTAAGAGAAATTTATAAAGAAACAGGTATTTCAATCGAACCTAAATATGTAAAATACCTTTTCAATAATGATTTCTATGACTGTAATGTATACATTAATAAAATTACATCAGGATGGATTTTTGAACAAACTGAACTAGAGAAATAAGGAAAATAGTGGCTATTTTATTTTAAAGAATATGCAGATATGGCAGAATAAGTGGAAATAACTTCTACTCACACTAAATATATAAATAAAATTTTAAAAGAAATTTGTAAGAAAGTATACAAAAATAAATATCTAAGTATATATCTAGCTGATCTATCAAAGAAGAAACAGGAAAAACTTAAACTACAGGTTGGATCATTAAATACTCATCAGCAGAATACTTTTCAATAAATTCTTGAAAAAATAGTGATTTATATGTTGGAATTCAAACAGATACAGGATGAACTGCCATCATTAAACATTCTATAATCTTAGAAAAGGATATGCCAATAGCACAAATAGCATACAGATGTAGCTCAGATAATTAACAATTTCTGCATTATGAAATCAAAGATATAGAAAAGAAAGGTATTATTAGAAAATCAAAGAGTCTATGAGCCTTATCAGTTGTAATTGTAGCAAAGAAAATTGGAGATAAAAGAATTTGCATTGATTACAGAAAACTGAATGCAGTAACAAAAAGGATGCTTATTCTTTACATAGAATTGATGATATATTAAAATCATTTAAAATGACAAATTGATTTACCATTCTGAACTTAGCTAGTGATTATTAGCAAGTTGAAATAGAAGAAAAAGACAAGAAAAAAACTGCCTTCATCACCAATTTTGGATTATATAAATTTAATGTAATACCTTTTGGATTATATAATGCTTTAGGAACTTTTTAAAAACTTATGAATTATATTCTACAACCTTATGCAGCTAAATTTATTTTAGTATATTTAGATGATATCATAATTTATTCAGAATCTTTTAAGCATTACATTAATTATATTAAACAAGTTTTTCAGGCATTAAGAGAAGCTAATTTAAAAATTAAGTTAAAGAAATGTAGTTTCTGCATGCTCAACATAACATTCTTAGAATATATATTTGGAAAAGATGATATTCAACCAGATTCAGCTAAAATTTAAAAAGTAAAAAACCTACTGATACTAAAAGATATATCTTAAATTTGATCAGTTTTAGGATTATTTTCTTATTACAGAAAATTTATTAAAGACTTTTCACAAATTGCAAAACCTATTAACACCTTATTGAAGAAAGATCAAATATTGAATAGACTGAAAGGCAACAAAATGCATTTACTCATTTAAAGAATTGTTTAATTAATGCATCAATTTTACAATATCTAAATTTTAATGAAACTTTTTATTTATATACTGATACATCAGGGATATATTTAGAAGCTATTCTAGTATAAAAGGATAAGAAAGGAAGAGAATATCCTATTGCTTATGCAAGTAGAAGCTTAACTCCAGCAAAAAAAAACTATTCAATTATAGATCAAGAATATTTAGCAATAATATGAACTATTCAACATTTTCATCATTACTTATGCATAACTAAATTTGAATTAATCATAGACCATTTAGCATTAAAATAGTTACAAATATTAAAAATACCAAAAGGGTGATATACCAGATGAATGATGAAATTACAACCCTATAATTATATTATTCAATATAGATCAAAAAAATACAATGCAAATGCTGATACTTTATCAAGAATAAATGATGAATAACTTGAAGAGAAAAAAGATGTTTGTGAAATTTTTATGATATCTATCTGTAATAGAGAATCTAAAATTAAATGGCATTTTTTGATAAATGAAAAACCAACTTTTAATTTAGAAGAATTATAGTTCAAGAGACAATTATACCAACAATTTGCAAATGAACCATTAACCATTAGATATCAATCACCTAAAAATGAATTAGAAGATATCTATTGTGAATATATTAAAGTTAAATAAGTTATTGCTAGACAACCTATTATGAAAAGTAGATCATAATGTACTTTTAATTGTGATACTGAGAATTATTATATTCATACCTATTGCAAAGTCTGTAAAAGAATTTACCTTTTGGGATAATTATTCATAACTGTATTATAGAATATGAACTAAGATAAATACAACCTGATATGAATTCTAATTATCTCTGCAATAACATATTTTAGGAAAAACTATTAGCAGTACAACAATAAAATTATGATATTTTATTAGAAAATTTACTTGGAGAACTTCTTAATAAAGTTCCTTTATATTGAAAACCAATTTTATTAAAATAATAATTAGAGTGAAAGTAAAAGTGTCTACATTATAATAGGCAACTCTATAATAAAATGGATGATATATTATACTAACATTTTTAATTATTTAAAGACAGAATTATTACCATTCACTTTAACAATAATAGAAAATAAAGAATTAAATGACAATCAAAGAATTACATTATTAAATTTGATATTTTATATAAAGTAAAAACTATTACTTCTGAACAACTATTAAGAGTAATAAAAATTAATGAATTAGATGCTTTATTATACATAGTATATAATGATCCTTTAGGAAGACATTTATCAACAGATAGAGTATTTGACAAAATTAGAACACCAATATTATTGGCCCCAAATGTATGAAAGTATATGAGAATATGTGCAAAAATGTGATTCTTGTTAAAGAAGAGGAAAATACAAATAAATAGAACTCTTACATCCAATAGATGCAGAAATCTATTCTATAGAATAGGAATCAATATTATAGGATCTTTACCTATTATAGAAAAGAAAAATAAATATATCGTAATAGCAATGGATTATATAACTAAATGGCCTAAAGCTAGAGACTTATCAGAAGCTACTGCAGAATAAGTTGCTAATTTTATTTATGAAGATATCATATGTCGACATAGATATTCTCAAAGGATCTTATCTGATAGAAGAACTCATTTTAATAATTAATTGATCACAAGACTGATGGAAAAGTTTTAGATCAAACATAACTTTTTAACCTCTTATCACTTACAAACAAATGGCCTTGTAAAATGATTTAATAAAACTTTAAGTGAATCCTTGGTAAAATTAATAACATATAATAAAAAGTGGAATCTTTATATTGCATTAGTATTATTTGCTTATCATACAAGTCAATACTCAATTACAAAAATAGCACCTTTTTATTTATTGTATAGCAGATTAGTAAGGTTACCTATTGACGATTCTTTAAATGAATAACTATATGATAATGTTAATACTAGAATTAAGGAATTAATAGATGGTCTACCAGTCATAAGGTTTAAAGCTAAAATGCAGATCACAAATAATCAACAGAAACAGAAAAATCAACATGATAAAAAAATCAAGATGAGATTTCAATTTGAGATAGAAGATAAAGTCCTATACCACACACTGGTCGAAATAGTCCAAATCGGACAAAAATCAGACATCTGATTTTATTCAAAATCTTAGATGAAAGACATCTGATTTTTCTAAAAAATTTAAATTCTGACTGACTGGTTGCCGATTGGCAACCAATCAGACATACTTCAGAAAAAAATTCGGACAAAAATCGTATGAAATTCAGAATTAAGTTTCATCAAAAAATGGGAAAATAATAAGAATTTGTTTATAAAATATAGTATATATAGTATTTGATTATTATACGAAATGTTCAATATATAATTTGATTATTATATAAAATGTTCATTCATATTTTAAGTATTTACATAAAAATAAAGAATAAATTAAAGTGAAAGCGAATAGTAAAAATAAAGTGAATAGAAAAAAAATATATATATATAAGTAAAATAAAAAAGTAAAATAAATAAATATAAAAGAGAATAAATTCTTCAGTAAGTTTGACAGATAAATTTTACTAACAGGAGCAGGAACTTGCCAATTTGTATGTCTTTTAAGATGGTTTTAATATAAAAAGGCTAAATAAAAGCTAATTAAAAAAATGTAAAAAGAATAAAATAAAATGAATGGAAATACGTTAATAATCATCTATAACATCGTCATCAGAAATGGCTTTCATTTTTGACCGTCAATTAGAACTACTTCCATTTTATCAATTTCGTATTTCTTTTGCCTTTCTTTGGCTTATTTTTCTCCAACTTGTAAACTTTCTTCGTCTTCTTATCTTTCTTTGTCTTCTTAGCCATCAATTTCTGTGTCGAATGCCATGTTCTTTTATTTGATATATGCTCATTTAGGAGCATTTTCTGAATGCATATAATCGAAGTGTTGCAACTCATCATCATATTATCGATCTCTTTGTAACTTAGCCGTTTGAATTGATTCAGAATGATGATCGAGAACATTTCAAAGTAGCATTTTCAGCTAAAAAAAAAAATTACAAAATGAAATAAATCAGACATGAAAAAGAAAATAGATTACAAACCTCGTTCGAGCACCACGAGTAATCATAAATACAGATGATTGTTTTACTCAGATCTTTCTCATCATCTTCACTAATTTCAGGTGAGTGGTATAATCGATTAGCTAAATTCAATAATAACTTGCGTTTCTCATATTTCATAATTTGTTCATCCCCTTTTTTATAAAGGTCTTTCGTAGCTTTTACTCAGCGCAATCTTTTCTAGATAACGTTTGATATAAAAAATTAGTATATATAATATATGACAAAAAATATATATATAAATTTATTAATTTTAATATTTACGTCTTGTATCTGACCATTATTGTGAATACAATAATTATCTTCGATAATTCTTCTGGTACTCTTCAACTTAGATTGCGAATGACAGGACTTGTAAAGGCTATTAAGCCATTTCGTTAGTTGACTAACTAAAGGACGAAAATGTAACCTTAACGCTTTCTGGAGCTCTGGAATTAGTTTGCTCCAGATTTGAATGTTTCGTTCACTATTGAACATCTTATTGTAGTCGATATTGTTAATTGGCTTGATTGTTTTAGTATAACCTTCATCTCATTCTAAATAAAAATTAAAAATCAGAACAATTAGTATAAAAGTATAAATCTGTTCAATGTATACTGTACAAATTTACATACGCTTGCTTTCATTTCTTCAGGATCTTCCGTTGAGCTGCTACTTTTTGATGATTCATAATCCTTATCATCAGCGTGATGTAATGGTTTTTTTCCTTTCTTCTTTGATTTTTTATCAAATTTAGGACGTTTTATCAATCGCTTATTATCAGAACTGGAAGAGTTATTAATACACTAAATGATGATACAGAATTTTGGCTTTGACTAAATGCTTTTTTTAGTTCTGCGTTTTCATTTTTTAATTTGTTATTTTCGTTGCTAAAATCTAAATTAACACCGGTAAGTATTTCGTTGTCCTTCCTTAAATGATTTATTTCACGAGATACTTTTTCCGCATATTTTGATAATTCCTCATTTCATCGTTCTAACTGATTGTATTTCATATGTAAATCAGATAATTCTTTTGCTAAATTCTGGTAGTTATTCTCTGTGTAAAAAATATAAAAGTCATTAACAAAAAATAAACTGATAATATATATATATACTGACTTGATAAATCCATACCATCGCTGTGAGTTTTTTTTCTGTATTCTTCCCTTTTTTCCAATACCTCTGTCACTACATCTTTTTCATATTTTGATGGTAGCTGAATATCATACTTTTCTCTTATAGCTTCTAATTTTTCTAGGTTGATGGATGGTTTCTGAGTTGAAGAAGCTAAAAAGGGTTTGGAACTAGCCGAAGAAGCCGAAGGAGAAGAGCTGAAACTAGTTAAATGATTTGAAGAAGCTAAAAGGGATTTGGAACTGGTTAACTTAATTTTTTGGGACAAAAAAGCCAAAGGAGAAGGGCTAAAACTAGTTAAATTGGATTTTTGTAGAGAAGAAGCTGAAGGAGATCTAAAACCAGTTAAATTGATTCTTTGAATTGAAGGAGGTCTGGAACTAGTCAAATTGATTCTTTGAACTAAATATTTGGGATTATCAGACTCCTTTTCAGTCGATTGGCTTAACAAACATGGACAGGTATTGTTCGAACTTTTATTACTTAAAATTTTTTCTCTTTGATTCATATTAATTGACAGTAGTGTAGAAAAGTATAAAAGAAAGAAGTGAGGATAGTCATGAAGAAAACGAGGTCTCTTTATAGTTTCAAAATAGATATCAAATCATCTTAAATATCAATCAACTTAAATATACTTTGATTAATCAAATTTTAAATTTTATTATAAATATCAAATCAACTTAAAATATGTTTATCAATTTAAATGTTGATGTTTAATTTAATTAAAGTGGTTTAATAAAATAATAATATCCAAATTGAAATTGTGCATCTTTATATTCTTTATCAGCTGATTTTTTATAATATTCAAAAGATTTAATTTCATTACCATTATCTTCTTTAAGTTTATAATAATATCTTTAACAAATTGACATCGTTCACAAAATAATGAGGAAAAGATCAATATCAAGCGTACTTGACGAAGATCCAGATAGACCTTATGCCATCTTCATTATGTATACAAAGAAACAGAATCATATCTGGTATACTTGAAGAATCTTCAGAACACTCTCCTTTTGCAACATCACATAGTGGAAGATTGGTCACATATGATTGTATTAAATGCAATGGAAAATTGGTTAACTATCATACAAAAGTTCTTCATGAAATTAATCAAAATCTAGAGAATGAAATAAATTAAAACTTAGAAGATAATTCAGAAGAGACTGAGATTGAGAGACATCTACCTGATAAGATATCGGCCAAATCTCAACCAGAAGCTGAATTCTACAGAGACGATCAATATGAAGGTAGGCATACTGAAAATGATGGAACTGAATTTAACTTCTTACCTCAACAATGATTAAAAAGATATGTAAATCGACCGATTATTGCTGCTGAATTAGAAGATACAACAACTGATACTTCTGTATATATCGCAGAAGAAGATGAAAATATCAATAGTAGTTCTAATTCATTTGATAATGACCTACCCGATAATAAACTTCACGAAATTATTCATGTCAACCCTTTGAACTACTTACAGATTCATATACAATAAATAATAGTCAATTTTTATGGATATTATTGTGAATAATGAGTTTTCGAACAAGATTAAACTTATCGGAAACAGCCACAGAATCACTTATACGGTTCATGAAGCTTGTTCTAACAGAAATTGGTGGTTCTGATTTTGATTCATTTCCTGAAACTTTATATCTTGCGAGAAAGACACTCGACCTTAAAGATAAATTTCATAGTTTTGTGGCTTGTCTTAAATGTCATAAATTATATAATAAACAGGAGGTAAAAAATTTTTGACAAGATGAACACCTTACTGTTATGAAATGCCATCATGTCAAATTCCTTAATTCAACAACTCGAAGATTAAAATTATGTCAAACGCCTTTATCACAGCAAACGAGGTTATTAAATAATATTTCGATCAAACCTGAATTGATATTTCCATTTGTTAGTGTTAGAAAATAATTGGAAGCCTTGTATCGTTGACCTTTTTTTGAAGGTTTCCTATAGTATTGGGTAAATCGGCCAACTTTCGATAATATATTAACTGATATCTATGACGGTGATATTTGGAAAACTTTCAAAGAAGGTACAGACGAAAATTCAAAAAATTTTTTCTGATATGATGTTGCCAATTCGCATCTTGGGTTGGTTTTGAATTTGAATTAGTTTTAACCTTTCGAAAGTATAATACATAGCACTGGAGTATTATATGCCGCAATCTGTAACCTTTCGAGAGATATCCAATTCAAGCATGAAAACATCTTAATCCTCAGATTGTTACCTAGTCCATATGAGGTTAGCTTGTATAAAATAAACCACTATCTGGCACCAATTGTAGGTAACTTGGTATCACTTTGGGAAGGTGTGACTTTAAATCAAACGTATGAATGTCGTCAAGAAGGAAAAAGAATATGCGCAGCTCTAATACTTGTTTTATGTGACATACCGGCTGCAAAAAAGATATGTGGTCATATTTCTGCTTTAGTGGTATACCATAGATGCAAAAAGAAAGCAAATTATGAAAATAAATAACACAATTTTGCTGGCATAAGCAATATAGACGAATGGTTTATTTCCAGAGATCTGGGTCAACATTATCTGAATGCTTTAGGATGGAGACGCTGCAATTTGGACGCATCAAGAAAGCAGTTTATAAAGGAAACTAGTGTCAGGTGGTTTGAATTACTGCATCTTCCATATTTCAATCCTGTTTGATTTATTACAGTCGATCTGATGCACTACCTATTCCTGGGCATCGCGAAGTGGATTGTTAGGAGAATTTGGATGGAAGAGGGTATAATTACGCCGCAAGTTTTGAAAATAGTACAGAAAAAAATGGACAAATTTAAAGTTCTGTCAGATTTGGGTTGAATCCCAGAAAATGTCGATTGTGGTGATGGGTTTTCAAATTTCACCACAGATCAATAGCAGATATTCTTTACTGTATATGCAACAGTCTCCCTTTGGAAACATCTTCTAGAGAAAGATCAGAAGATTTTTGTTCATTTTGTGAGAATCTGTTCAATTCTAGTAAGTCGAATAGTAGAAGTCAATTTCATGAGAGAAGCCCATCGGAGGTTGATTAGTATAGTGAAATTAATAGAGGAAAATTACGGTCATGATAAAATTATATCAAATTTACACCTGTCACTTCACCTATGTGAATGCTTATTTGATTATGATCCATTGTATACTTTTTGGTGCTTTTCCTTCGAGTGTATGAATGGGATATTAGGTATTGTATTTTTAATATTTTCAATTACCTTTTACTTATTTTCATTTAATAACATATTGGTAAATATAAGATCGTTACCAAATAGCAGGAGAAAGATTGAACTAGAAATCATACGTCGTCTGATATTTGATAATCAAATTAGTAATATCATTAATTCTGGTATAGAGACAAAAGGTTTAGACTTGCTTAATAATCAACCATCTATTGGTTCACTTTTGGAAACCGACTAATTTTCTGCTGATGAAATGCAACGTTTTTGGTTGATTTCCAGACACATTCATCAATCAAATGTTACTGGAAAAGAATCATTTCCAGGCAAAATTCTTAGACCAATATCGAATGATATTATAATTACGAATGATATGCTTGACTTAATAGTTGAGTATTATATGGCGACCTATGAAACATTTACATTTCGAAGGCCATTTGGAGAGGTACAAAAGATTCGATAATAATAGCCATTAAAATGAACCAATTTAGACAATATCAAATTGGTTCTGAAGTGTTCAGTTCTTTGATGTCAACTCGTCATGTAAAAAATTCGTTCGTTTTGGCAAAATTTATGACAGATAATGGAAATGACAATTGTTTTCCTGGCCAAATTCAGTACTTTTTTATTCACACTGTTAATTTGCCAGATATCAGATTATCTGAACATAATTTAGCATTTGTTCGTTAGTATAAACCTGCGGAAATATCAAGAATTCAGTATCATTTTAGTATTGATAATGAAATATGCAACGTAGAATTATGAAGCACTGAATTTTATCTGATTTCGTGAGACTGTATTATTCCTGTCCATCACATTCTTAGTAGATTTATACCAACAAAGTACTGGATTAAAACAAAAGATTATTTAGCAATAAATCCTATTAATAGAAAATATCATATTCGCTAATTTTTGATTATTTGCATCAATTTTTATATGGAGAAATGAGTTTTCGAAGGACTTATTATTTCATAATTTTCTGACTAAATAAAGTAAATTTTAGTATATAATTCAGATATGTCAAATTTTGTATTTTTTTAATTGGCTGTAAATCAGAAATATCGAAATTGGTGATTTTTCTGATTAGCTGTAAATTGTAAATACTATATTTGGTAATTTTTCTGATTTTCAGCTAATTTGTCATGTCTGATTTGCCTTATTTCGACCAGTGACAATGCAGCAAATGAAACAAGAAGATCTAGAAATTAAATTCAAAATGGAAAGGATCTTATTATATCCATGAAATTTTGATAAATAGATCTTATAAATTACGTAAAATTAAAGGACGAGTTTTGCGTGTACCAGTAAATACACATTTATTAAAAGCTTATTATAGAAATTAGATTAGTTATCTTTTATTATTATTTTTTATATATATATATATATGCAATTATAAAAGTAAATATTTTATAATGTCTGAAATTCTTACTTCTTAACGATTGCGACCTTTATGTGAAGATTTCGAACAAAATTCTTCTTTTGAAATTCCTCTCAGAGTATCTTTTAATAATAATATGACCTTATAATAAAAAGTTTAAAATACATATTAGGCATTATTAAGAACATGTAGAATAAGAGATTGTGTACTTATTCTTATAAATGTCTATTACTTAAGGTAATACTTGAAAACTAAGTCAACCAATCCTTCTGAAAGAATGATGTTAAGAAATATGGTGACTATTTATTATTAACTTGGAGTTACCAGAATTTATTATTTGTTTGAGTTTTTAGAAGTAGAACAAATTTAACAGACTTAAATTATCAACTTTGCAACTATATGATATTTGAATTTAGAGCTTTAGTTAATTATGCTTATCAACTTTCTATCAGGAATGAAGAAGAAACTGATGAATTTCTCTCAGAGTTCAAAAATTAGAAGAAAAGAATTGTTAGTTACAAATTATACTATACCTTAGATGATCTACAACTATGCTAAATATCATAAAAATAATACATGTTAAACATGTAATACATATATTATATCAAATGATTTACTTTTTAATATAAATATTATATAGTTTACTTTTTATTACTTATATTATATTCTCTAGTTTTCATTATATATATTATTTTTATTTATCAAAAGCGTAGTATAGTACTAGTTAAAAATTTTATATAAATAGACCTATAAGTTGACCTTAAGTCAACAGAGTTTGCTTAGAGATTGAAGTAAGTCTTAGAATTAGACTTATAACTCTACAGTTTTAATAAAGTTACTATTTTATACTTTTAATCTTCTTCTTATCTTCATCATAGCATTGATCGTGATAATCTAATATATAAGTAAATCATGATAATAAATAATTTTGTTCGTTAATTA